TGTAGTACCAGTAATACCTGTAGTATCTGTAGTAGGTGTAGTAGATGTAGTATCCGTAGTACCTGTAGTATCTGTAGTACCTGTAGTAGGTGTAGTATCCGTAGTACCTATAGTACCTGTAGTACCTGTAGTACCTGTAGTACCTGTAGTACCTGTAGTACCTGTAGTACCTGTAGTACCTGTAGTACCTGTAGTAGGTGTAGTATCCGTAGTACCTGTAGTATCTGTAGTACCTGTAGTACCTGTAGTATCTGTAGTACCCGTAGTAGGCGTAGTACCTGTAGTACCTGTAGTACCTGCAGTAGGTGTAGTACCTGTAGTATTTGTAGTACCTGTAGTACCTGTAGTAGGTGTAGTACCTGTAGTATTTGTAGTACCTGTAGTACCTGTAGTATCTGTAGTACCTGTAGTACCTGTAGTATCCGTAGTACGTGTAGAACCTGTAGTAGCTATAGTAGGTGTAGTATCAGTAGTACCTGTCGTATCTGTAGTACCTGTAGTAGGTGTACATAGTACCTTTCACGGCAGCCACGTTGATGGGTAGAATTAATAAAATTGTTCATTCTATTGTTGAATTCATTTTAATTTCGCTTTTGGAATGAAATTTGATTTTCCTTACTCTGAAACATGCCCTGCCTTACTGGGCGCGTCACCAGTAGCGTTCATTTAACCTATCAAGGCGTACGCATGAAGACTATAATAACTCAAAATAAATAGGTGAAGAAAGACTTATAATCATACTTTAGTTTATTGTTTTCTTTTTAATATATTTTTTCGATTGACTTGAATTATTTTGGAATTATCCCTTAGATTTCAGGATATGTAAATCGTTAATCGAATATATCTACAGTTTCATCTAAAAGTCATAATGTCTTGATGTGGTTAAGGCARCTATGGATCTAACTAGAACTATATATATCTTAATACTTTATATCACTATATTTAGTTTTTAGACAAGAGACCATAGTGTGATTTGGTAAATCCTGTGAAATATTCTTTAGGAAGCGCATTTTTGAGTCTATCTGACTAATGCACTCTAATAAGTACAATTTGTTTCCCGTTAATGAAAACTGCTCTATGGTCTCTTGTTATCAAGTATAGTGTTAAGTACAAGCTAGAAATTYACTGAGGTATCAACAACACAAAGAAACACAAACTACTACAGATACTACACCTACTGCAGTTACTACGGGTACTACGGATACTACAGGTACTAAGGTACTACAGATACTACAGGTACTACAGGTACTACAGGTACTACAGATACTACAGATACTACGGGTACTACACCTACTACAGGTACTACAGGTACTACAGGTACTACAGGTACTACAGGTACTACAGATACTACAGATACTACGGGTACTACAGGTACTACAGGTACTACAGGTACTACAGGTACTACAGGTACTACACCTACTACAGGTACTACAGGTACTACAGGTACTACAGGTACTACAGGTACTACACCTACTACAGGTACTACGGATACTACATGTACTACACCTACTACAGGTACTACAGGTACTACAGGTACTACAGTACTACAGGTACTACGGATACTACAGTACTACAGGTACTACAGTACTACAGGTACTACGGATACTACATCTACTACAGGTACTACGGATACTACATCTACTACAGGTACTACGGATACTACAGATACTACAGGTACTACACCTACTACAGGTACTACAGATACTACACCTACTACAGGTACTACGGATACTACATCTACTACACCTATTACAGGTACTACAGGTACTACAGGTACTACACGGATACTACAGGTACTACACCTACTACAGTTACTACAGGTACTACAGGTACTACGGATACTACAGGTACTACATCTACTACACCTACTACAGATACTACAGCTATTACTGGTACTACGGATACTACACCTACTACGGGTACTACAGATACTACAGGTACTACACCTACTACGGATACTACAGGTACTACGGATACTACAGTTACTACAGGTACTACAGGTACTACGGATACTACAGGTACTACATCTACTACACCTACTACAGATACTACAGGTATTACTGGTACTACAGGTACTACACCTACCACGGGTACTACGGGTATTACACCAACTACATGTGCTGCACCTACACGGATCACTAAAGGTGACACCGAACGATGCAACACTACCACAACACACAACCCCAAGATAGTGCCAATTCGTGTGGTCATACATGAAGGAACGACCGATGCGTGAATACGGTTTTGAGCCGGATCTCTGGATTACCGGTGATTTTTGCTCAAATATATACTTTTTCGATCAATGTTAGCATTTGCTTGTATGGTTTTAGTTCATCGACAACTATAAACGAAAATGAGACCTGAAACCTAAATTTTCAGCCCCAAATACGACATCATAAAAGTTGTGTATCGTGTATCGATCGCTCTCGTCGACATGCTTTGGCTCGAAAAACAAGCGATTTTGTTGGTGTTTTCGATTTTTTGTGCCCTGGTTACTTCAGATATTTATAAATCAGTGATGTGGACGACCAACAATCCTCTGTAAGTTGTACTGATTTTATTTTATTTGGAATCTTTCGTGTTTATTCATGCTAAACTACTTTATATCGACTACGTAAATGATATTTGTTTCTTCATGCATGCTTGCCGGGATGCTTGACACTTGACGTTTCATAAGCTTTTATTTAATACATTATAACGCATTTTTATTTCATAAAACCACAGACAATATCTAGCTTTAAATACTTATTTCAATTTTAATCTAAAGTAACAAAAATACAACGAGGAACTTAGCTTAAAAGTTCAAGGAAAAAATTATTGTGTAATAAGATCTAACTTTTGAATCTTGTAAATTCCTGTTCAAACCTTGGAGGTACAAGACTTAAGCTTACTTTTTAAAGCAAATACGTTAAAAAGTCTAATTCAGCTTTAGCAATATTTGTTCAAGACACAACTGAAGCTGCCTGACACATCTGTTTACTTCCTTATTGCGATGTAGCTAGCTCATTCTGAATTATCAGGCCGCTATTTATAACTTTCTTAAATAATTGATATATTTTTTTCTTGCTATGAAATTGTAAGATATTTTGACTGTACTTTATTCTGGCGAATACGAAATGAGAGTCGTAGCTAGGTAATCAAATAGAAAGATAAAAATACAATAGAATTTTAAGGAAGCTGCAAGACAACAGCCGCTATACACTCTTTAGATAATGAAGAACACAATAAATTCATGTAAAAGTAAACTAAAACCATAATTTTGTAGAACTTGTTTCTGCAAGTAAAACTGAAAATAGCTGCAAAGAGATTGCATGCAATACCCTTGTATATTTGTTATGCAATGTGTTACTTCATGTATTGCCTTTGCCAATATTCATCTGGCTGCTTCGTCATTTAATTCTGACAGAGATAGTTTTGGTAAAGCTACAGCAGTATACATATAATTTAATTAATATTGCAGGAGCCTGGCATGGCCAGTCATGCATGCTTTTAAAAACCGCTCTGTTTGACAGGCTGAGCTTAAATTTCTTCAAAACTATATTCAGAAATTGTCCATTTTTAGAAACAGAGTACAGACTAAAACTAGAAAGCAAATCAGTCTGATGAAACTTTTCATTTATAATTTTACAATAGATGGGTACGTCATCTGGTTAGCTTGATTTACAGTCAAACCAGCTAATGCGTTTCTATCAAGGTTCAAAGATTTATTTTATTATTCTAGATTTGATTTCAATCTTGCTTCGGAGCTTGCATTAATCAAACGAACATTGTAATTTCAATCCCGACATTTACCTCAAGACATTAAAATGTTCATTTGTGAAAGGATTTAATAATGGAAAAAAGTGGCAAAAACTAGTCTTTCGTATGAGTTTTGATCCCAATTTTCGTTTTGGGTTAACACTCAAAACCTTTTTTAAACAGTTAGAAACTGAGTGTACTATGATAAAATGCCTGTTTGAAGCAGTATTTTCAATCGTACAAAGATGTTTTGTTGCATTTGTATTAGAATCTTGCTTTGTCAGGCAATTTTATAGAAAATATATTGGTAATCAAATAAATGAAGGCCTAAACCTCATTTTAGAATAAAATTTTTGCTTTGGGTTAACACTTTGATTCCACTTTAAACTTTCTGAATAACAAGATTTTAGCCTTGTACAACAACCTTTCTTCAAGAAAATAGTTTTTGGCGCTCACTGCTTGAATACAAAAAGAATTCTCTCTTAAAATGTTAGCTACGACTGTAGAAATAATTTTGGCTTTGCATGAATCTGTGAAGAACTAAATAAACTAAATTAATCCGATGCCAGTTTTCAAATTTACAACCTCCATTTCATTATGCACATTTCAAAGCAAGAGGGAAATCAAAACTTTGAATGATAAACTGAATATTTGAACCTCTATGGAAATGCATGAGCTAGTTTGACTGTAATTATTCATTACCAATAATTTGAGCTACTTTATCTTATTTAGAGGTCAATGACAGAAGGGACATATGATAATTGTATATAAAGAAAAAATCATATTGCATATGCAGAAATAATATAGTCACAGGATCAGGCAGATCATAGTTAATAGTTAATATTTAACAATTTTTTGCCTCAGGGCTCAGTGATTATCAGGGAATATTTACTGGGGCGCGAGTCTTCAAGCGGCGAGGTAAATATTCCCCAATAATCACTGAGCCTGAGGCAAATAATTGTTTTAGTATAAATACACAGGTGATTCTTTAAAAAAAAAGAAAAAAGAAGAAGATGAAAGGCATTTTTTCCCAGTAACACCAACAAAGTGGCTGGCCACAATTTTGGATTTTTGCTCAAGGTGATTATCGTGTGATAGTGTGAGTTTCTTGACTAATCAGCGCATGAGATTTTCTATATTCACCAGCTTATTTTTACTAATTAATATTAACTATGCATTGGCAGATGAATAACACTTCAAGCTCAATAATAATACTCTGTTAATAATTTTTACTTTGAGGACACTTGAACTGTGAGCACCTTGAGTTTTTTCTTATTATTATTTCCTGAGCTTTCAACTGTTTCAAACCCTCTAAAATGAAGCATTGAGTTCAAATAAACTTTGCAATCTAAATCTTAATAATCGTATTTCCATTTGATCAAGGCTCAAGGAATGATTTACAGTATGCATAAAGAAGTGATAAAAAACCCAGTGCTGTTGGTAATTTGAGAGTCTGAGTCACCATATCAATTCATAGAGATTTGACATATTTTGAAGTAATATGTAGCATTGATGTTTTGAAAGTGTGCCAGACAATTCGCTTGGGGTCAAACACTCTGATAAGCTGCCTTAAGTATATATAAGTCCTGTATTGTCTCAAAGTTAAATATATAATGTCACAGCTTTTCCTGTTTCAGTTTACCTATGGAAATAAGTAAATAGTTTGTTGCATATTCAGATCAAATATCACTTCCTTAAGCTTCAAGATTGTTTCTTAAAACTGTAAAAGTCTATTAATGGAATTCCAGGATGCACGGATACATCAAGATTCAATATTACCTAATGTCAAAATAAGTCTAATACTATAATAGAGTATAATACCAAAGTGATGACATCACAAAATTGTTTCTAAAGACATTTAGGATTACTTTTGATGACATTATCAGAAACTGCATGTAAAAATATCATAATTTATGATGCAAAATTTTAGACCGATAGAGTAAAAAACGGTTGAGATATAGGTAATTTAATACAAAAGTATCCCCATGCTTTTTCTCTCCTTTGAGGCTGGAACTAATGTGATTGGACCCAGTCCAAAATAAGAGAAAATGTATGGGGCTATTTGCAGCTTAAATACCCAATATCTCCATTTCTAACTGAATTGCAAAGTTTGATGATGTTACACTTCGGTACTCTATACAAAGACAAATAATTTTTTCTATTTTTATTTCATCTGGTATTTTTCTAAAATAATGATGGCGAATTTTGATCCTGCGTTTGTTTTTCACGAAACGACAAAGTATGAGTTAAACAAAGTAAAAGGATGTCTCCAACTGATTTCAGCTTAGTGTACTTCCTCAAACAATGTGCTACTACCTTCTATGAAGAAGCTCATTCATGGATATTATATTAATATTATATTAATTTGTTTAGCAAGAATTCATCAATTTAAAATTTTAAGATTCTTCTTGTGACTAACGGAATTCCAAGTTCAATCATGGAGTATACGATAATATTGTATGTGCCATCTTCCTTTGTGGATTCTCAAAAATTATAGAATAAATTAGATGGTTTACAGTCAATTCGCCCACGGACYAAATCGCCCACGCCAATTCGCCCACGCATAAAATCATTGATCAAGTGTTTGCCAACTCGCCCACGCCAATTTGCCCATGTGTAGAATCACTTTAAGAAATATGTTACCATACATTAAAACTAAATTAAAGTAGTTTGTGATTTACCAACCTTACTTGACACTTATGAGCTCAAGACTTCAAAACCCGAACTCGTAACCAATCTTTCTCAACCATTTGACACGGACAGACAGACGGACAGTGACCAAGGGAAATAGAGGAACTTAGCTCACAGTCTAAGAATAAATTTTAAGAATAAGAAAAAAATCCAAAGAGGAAGCTTATTCCAATTGTTCTGGCAGATTAATAACAGCCAGCCCACTTTAATAGAATAAATTTGGCCTGAATCTGCCACTCATCAAATTCTTGTTCCACTTCAAGTACAAAAATTTGGTAACAAAGATTGGTGTACTATCATTGCTCACAGCCTGACACTAGACTTACACCATATGAGGATTTTTTGATACGAAATGTATTTACGATTGGCAAAAAATGTAGTGTTTAAACCCTAGATGCTGACTTTCTAGCCTCATGGACATACAGTGTAGGTATTAATTTCAAAGTTTGAAATTGAAAATTATTACCAGATACTGTACATGCATGTACTACATGTATGAACTATATATACTATGRATAATACTATGGTGGCCCATAGGCCTTTTCTGAGTTGGATAAACAGGATGCATTGTGGTCTAGCTTCGGTACAAACAACACAATATAAGGCATAATGAACAAACCATGTTTGTACCGAAGCTAGACCACAATGATCCACATTCACTATCTCAGAAAAGGTCTACAGTATGAGCATCACCTATTCGACATTGGTAGGGGGAGAGGGAAAATTGCTTCCTAATAGAGTTGGGATTCCTGTGTTTTCAGGGTATCAACATATATTATTTTGGTCACTGATTGTACTGTCAGTAGCTTGTGAAAATGAGGTTGAAATCATAGAATTGATCTGCCTATAAAATATTCCATGGTCCTACCTCATGAGGTGTTGTTAACTACTGTAAGACTAAGTCTTTTGCTTCTGTCATCCAACATGGCTGGCACCCATTTGTTTTTTTACAAGTGAAATCTTCCCAATGTCCAGCTTTTAAGATTCTGATAGATTATAAGTCCCTGCTAAGTCTAGTCTGATCTATTGCTCTTGTCATCCAACATGGCAGCCGCCCAGATCATGTATTATTAGTTTGTTATTCTTCATTTATTCTCTACTTTTTTCCTAACAGCTTTTCAAATTCTGGTAAAAAATTAAGTCCCTGCTTTGGACAAGATCTAGAAATGAGAGTCCATTTACAGTCCAGCCTTCCGATTGTCTGTCCATTTGATTTCATCATCATGCAGACCCTTTCTAGCAAGCCTGCCACTGGAGTTTTGTACGAAAACTTCTGGATCGTGTATGATGAACCGAGCTTTCGTAACTGTGACATAAACATGACATATAAAGATGGTAAAAATGAAAACAAGAAACTGCTTGAATGTGATTCACCTGAAGCTTTGAAGTCTTTCACTTACTCCATTGACTTTAAGGCAGATACTCCAGCCAATTCAGGAATCTCATTTGTTGGTGGTAGATACTACTACTTTCTTGGTTAGTGTGTACAGTATACTACAATGTTTATCGTGGGTGGTATAGAAAAAAGAATTAATCCATATTGTTTTGCCCCCCAGAGCAATTCTTTGCAAATTTTGTTTTTCAGATATGAAAGTGTTCGCGTCCACATGCAGCACATTCGAATGGTTTTCAAATCGTTATTATTGAGCATGCGCAAAATTGTGTTTATGTCATTGATTCAAAAATTTGCGGATATGACCGTCCACGTGTATCCATATTCAGAACGTATTCTAAAATTTCCACTCTAGAGACTGTTTTTGAAAATTTCCAGATACGCATGCAAAAATTTCTAGACACCTATGGACGCAACCTGTGCCTGCAAAAAAAAAATTGCGGATACGAAAATTTCCAGATGTACATGTGAACAGGGCCTAAATGCAAGGGGTCTATAAGTTAAGGCTTTTTGTCTTTCACCTTTTGGGGTCTTGGTTTTTTCTTTGGGTTTTCTAGATTTTCAACTGAAAAGTTTCAAATGAAAATAATTAATTTTCAACAACCACTAGTAAAAACTTAGCTGTGTTTTGTTATTATAGCAACATCAGACGGTACAGATGGCTCCCTTAACAACACTAAAAATGGTCATTGTAATGATGATAAAGTTCGCATGAAGTTCAAGGTCTACATCTGCAAACCTGATGGTAACTTTTAGATTCAAGTAACTTTGTGCCATAAATATCTTTGAATTCTGTAATCTTATATGTATTTCAAAACCTTTTACTAATCAAAGTAGTAGCCAAATAGTGTTTCTTTTTTCATTTCTTCATCAATATTAATAGTGTTCTTCCATATTCAAAGCTAATAGTAAATTGATTGATGATTATTTTATAAACTTCTCCAAGCGGAGACCCAATGAATTTTTGAGAGGTGGTTAGTACAATCATGTAGCACTGTTGATGGTTGTCCTACAGGGTTTGATTTTGTTCTTTGTGGTTATGGTTAGTGGTGAAGTGTAGAGACCAAACAGCCATTTATTTAAAGTGGTCATCCAAGCCACTTGAAAGTCTAACCATTTGTAGATGAGATGTACAGTAATTACAAAGGCAACATCTTCTACTCGGTTATTTCAAGACCCTGAGTGCAGCATAAACCCACAACCTCTCGCACAACAGAGCAGACACTCAAACACTGAGCGAAACATCCCTTGCAAACTGGATTTCCAACTTTCTTGGAATTCCAAAGAATACCTAACAATTCTCAAGTATGCAAATTAAGTTTTAGCACTTGACTTCTAGAATTCCTGGAAATTTCTTGGAATCACAACACCTTTTTGATTGAGAAAAGCTTGGAATTTTTGAGAACATTATCATACAGCAAATCAGATCCTGAGAATTCTTTGAAATTGTAGAGAATTTATTTTTCAAGATCTAGGCAACAACTATCATGCTTTCACTTGAAATCTCATGAAGTCTGATTGTGTCTTATCAAGTGATGATAAACTTAGATTTTGAGGATTTTGAGAAGTGGAGGAAGAGGATATTGTTGTTTGGTCATTTTTCATAATATTGTGTAGTTCTAGAAATAACCATATTCCTGGCCACAGAGGAAATTCTTAATAGGACCCCCTACCCCTTTGCTGTAACTACAAATAGTAGTGTACCTATCCATTAATCCCAGGGCTATAAAAAAAAAGCAGTTGCTAAATCACGGCTGTGCACTTGGCTGGCCACATCATACTGATCAACATGGATGAACCCAAAATTATGCTTGTATTTTGAAAGACAAGTACCAAAATATTTTGGCTAGGAATTGTCATGTCCTGGCATTGACATGCTGTTAATTTTAACCCAGGCCTGCATCCATCCATCTGGTGTTCCATCTCAACCATAGCAATCTATCTCATTTTATTCAAGGGAGAAAAAAACATCTTATTGACATTTTATTATTAAAAATCATGGTTAATCATGTCCATTTCAATAGACTAATTGGATGGTGTGGCGGCCATCTTGAACCATAATGCATTATGGGGTGTCAAGGGGGCAAATAAAGCTTTGTTAAAGTAATGATGTTGATTAATATTAGCAGCTCATCACAAGAGAATACAAAAAAAGATGAGTTAAGGTGGAACATGGATCACCTTTACCCATAAAAGAAACACATGAAAATTTATATATTTTCCGTCATCTTTGTTTATTTTTGCCCCCTGACAAGATGGCTGTTGTATCGTCAAAAAAAACCCATCAATGTAGTCCATTGAACAACTATGTTTATGCAACAATAGCTGTAAAAGCTTTGAAGCTTGTATGTGGTTGCTTTGGGAAACTATATTATTCTGAGTAGATTGTCAATGTGATACTGGGCTGCACAGCAGTACTCCATCAATGAAGGGGCTTAGAATCAGGGGGGAGGGGGGCTTATAACCTGGATTCTACAGCATATATTCGTTAGAATAATGTATTTTGTCATTACTTGCAGATGAAAAGTGTCAGAATGTTTCCATTGGTGAATTTTTTTGTTCACCTAATCAATCTGCGACAACAACATCACCACCTACTACAGTAACAACGTCACCACCTTCTACATTTACCACATCTACTACAACTACAGCAACTTTATCAGCACAAATGAAWAATTACTCTGTTGGATCCTCAAACTCAACTACTACTGACAAAAATAGCACACCTTTGCATGGAACCAATATACCAATAAACCCAGAAAATCTAGAATCCCAGGACATTCTTAGAGAGCTTTGTAAGTATTTTGAAAGTTAAATAAATTCTATATTTTTTGCCTTTTTTTTTACTACTATTTATTCATTTCTGTAATCTTTGCATGATCACAGCTGTAAGAAACAGCCCATTAATTGTGTATAATTTTATCAATCAAATCAATCAATGTTTGTAGGCAGAGGGTTTAACTTCATTTGGTTAGATATTTTTCATCAACCTTAAAATAATTATACTTTGTTCTACCAAGTTTTCGAGCTACACGGTCATCTTCAGAATAATATTTAAAAGTCGTTATCAACTGTAAGAAAAACTTTGCCATCAAAACAATGTGCATGTGCGTCAGTCGTGATCTTATGAACAGCATGCACAGTACGGTTGATGAAAAAAATTTAACCAAATATATTTTTACTACCTGTGCTATGCTATTACATGCAGGGGCGTAGCCAGGATTTTCCAAAGGGGGGCCCAAATTCAAAAATCCGCCATTTTGTTTGGGCCTCCAAAATGCTGAACCAAACAAAACAAAAAAACAAGAAGAAAAAAAAAAAAGAAAAGAAAGAAGACCGGTATTACATTTCAATTTTGCTAAACTTTAAAATACCATTCTAAAAAAGCTGCCATTTTGTTAGTAAGAAGGTGGGGACGACCCTGTATTACTAATAATGATTGATGGGTTAAGGTAAATTAAATGAATTACTGAAATAACAAACTTTATTTCAAGAGGGTAACAAACAACAGTTATAATTTAAAAAAAATCATACTGATAACCCATTGAACCTTACAGGTGTTCACAGGTGTTTTGAATTAACTAAGCCATATAATCTCATATTATTTTTCATTTATTATTTTTTATAGCATGGTGGAAGACACTAGCAATTATTTTAATTTGCTTACTTATGGCACTTATAATTGCTATTGTTGTTTGTTACTTAAAAAGGTAAGATTTGAAATTTCTATGCCAAAACATACACCTACTTGCAAGAACGTTGTCATACAGTATGAAAATAGAACATTAGTGATTTAGTGGGATAGGAATTATATTAAAAAAACAAAAGAAGATCACTGAAGCTGAACTTTTCCTTTTGTCTTTTAATGTGTTCCTTTCTCACCAAATTACTAAATGTTCTGTTTTTGGAGGACAACGTTGTTGCAAGTAGGTGTATAATACTCTATAAAATACCTGTTTTGAACCTCAAGTTCTGATTGGTTGGAAGTGCATGCATTATGAGAGCATACAGCACAAGCATGCTATTTCTACTTTGTTATTCGTGTTGAAAATGACAGTTTCTCTAATTTGTATTTTATAATAGAAACAAAAACTTGTTTGCTGTGCTTGTAGTTATAAAGCACAATTGGGGATTAGCAGAACACTCGAGTAGTTTTGAAGAATTTTTTGGCAACCCCTCCTAATGTTTTTACAAAAAATTTCTAAACATTTAATCACCCCTTTATCCAATGCCCTAGTAAAAGAAATGACCAAGGAAATTACCCCACTAAATAACAAAGAGAGTGACATCATAACTTTCATAGAGACTATGAACAGCCATTTATCCTATGAAGTTGAAAAAGTGTCCTTTAAAAAACTACAAAATAGACTGTTCCTGAGTCCCATTAAAAGAATGCATTTTGATCTAGCTGAACACCGTTTTAGGCCCAATGAACAAAAGACATTGGAAAAGGTATAACTGCAGAACATTATGCCACCATGTAGCATGTTTTGTACAGCTCTGAGATGCAATATGACAGGTAGTTTTATTATTTTCAAGATAAATACTGATTTATGTTCACCTTTTTATTGAAGGCGCAAAGATATACATGTAAATAAAGGAAATAGAGTCACTCCACCTGAAAGCAAACAACATGAATATGATGTACCTTATATAGAACCAAACATGAAGCTCTCCTTTAATAACGTGAGTTATGATAGTGAAGATGGAAAAAATGAACACAAAATGAATTCATTTAACCATAACATAAGCCCTGCACAAGCAGTAGACAAACCTGTCGTCAAACAGAATCAAAACCAAAATGACACACAAGAGAGAGAGCCAGAAAAGCTATACCCTGTAGTGAACAGTGAAAACATGGGGAATGGAACACCTGGTAGGATAGAGAGTGATAAGAAGAGACATTAGAGGCATAAGCAATAACAATAAAGATAAGACTGGAAATGGAACACCTGGTGGGAAAGGTAGGCATTCAAAAGCCAACCGCGTTATCTCTCTTCCACCTTTGGGGACAATGCATGTTGTTTTAAAGAAATATTTACCCAGCACAGAAAAACGAGAACTGCAACCTGAAAATTTTAATTTCTATTGAAGGAATGACTTGCACTACCTGACAGTTCTGATGACCTCAACTCTATTACAATGAGTAGTTGTGTAAAAATGAACATCACAAATGAAAAGAGCACTTCAATATTAGTAACAGGGCAAAGTTTCAGCTCATAATGTTGACTACAGGCAAAAAGGCAGTGGTTATAAAATTGAATATTTATAAGGTTTTACATGGAAAAAGTGTTGTTTGGTAAGCTCTTGAAACTTTGTCTCCCTACCAATGTTGAGGTGCTCTTTTCATTTCTATTGTAAATTTTTATACCACTGCTTGTTTTAAGGGAGTTGTGTCATTTGACCTGTTAGTGTAAATCATCCATATAAACATTAGGCGGTCAGGATAGTATAGATTTTGAAGACCCAAGCATCCCCATGGTGCTTTGCCTTCTAACGCTGACATACTGCTCAAACAATATAAATTCTAATAGCTGATCTTTATTTTTCATTATTAATAGTGATCTCAAACAATTGATACTCGTAAGATACATTGGTATCAGTGGCGGATCCAGGGGAGGGGTGCAGGGGGCTCGCACCCCTCCCTGGTTCGACTTTGTGCCCCTACTTCAAAGATTTAACCAATACAAAATAATGTTTTTTTCCCTTTAATTCTGAGGAGTGCACCCCTCCCTGGGTTAACTATGTGCGCTGCACCCCTCCCTGAACAAATTCCTGGATCCGCCCCTGGGTATTACTGGTGCCATTATGTGACTATAGCAATGCTTTGACCAGGCATTTGGATTGAATAAGTAGGGGTTCAGGATGCCATGATCTGTTAATAATTAATTACAGTGAGTGATGTCGATTAAGTCCATGATATCCCAGATGATTTTCATACGGTTCAATTTCTGTTCTGAATTCAGTGAATTTGAATTGATTTTATCTTACCCAGATTAGCAGAATAGGTGCTGGTGTACAGGCTTGATAAATTCTAACTCCACACTGAATGAATACAATGTTGATAAGGTTTTTGCAATATCATAGCTGTCATATTATCAGCAAAATCAAATGAACAGCAAACTTGATTTTGCAATAGAAAATTTCTTTGTACCTTCCTATGGGTAGATGCAATTTGCTAGAAACAAAATTTGCCTGTCAGCATACATTTCCTTGTAAAGGTTGTAAGGTTCCCAACAAATTCCCAATTTGGGAATCCGTTTTTTTCCCCTGTGATAATCCACAGGATATATGTTATTTTGAACCTTACAACTCCAACATAATCAACAAGGTGTGGCTACAGTACAATACAACACAGCTACAAATTTGTGTATAGTTTCCTTTTCATACCAAACCACCAGTAATAATTAGTACATATTAATGCCGGCATTCTTATTTCCTGCCAGTATAGAATTCTATATTTGGTTGATAACAAAAAGGAAAAAAAAAAAAGTTGCTTTAACACAAACTATATTATATAGATTTATATAGATACACCCATGCCGCCATCTTTCACTTCTTTTGGCTGACCAAATTAAATACAGAATCACAGTACATTGATTGTAAAATCTACTTGGTTATGCAAACTTTTAATGGTTTTTGTAAATAAAATATATGATGTATTACAATTACTGTAATGAATAGAATACAGTTCCTATAAGTAAGTTTTATTAATGCACTTATTTGAAGATTAAAATGTTTCTTATTACTTTTCCCAATCACAAAGAAGGATAAAAATCCATTTGGGCTCCATTTTGTTTCTGGAAATCTGGGTTTTTCTTTCTTTCTTTTTTTCATTCTTCTTCTGTGGAGGGTTGGGGCTATAAACCCCCTCCTGTTTTTCTTTTGCATACTATTCTTATGTGCCAATCTTATCATAGCCTCTTCTCCCACTCTTATAAGGGTGTTCCAAGGTTTTCGTTCATTTCTATCTTGTGAATGACTGCCCTTTTTTGTATTTTTCTGATGCATCCTTTCATTCATTACTTTCTTGTTTGATTCGTTCATTCATTCAGTCCCTGATTTAAATGTAATTGCCATTGTGAGTTTGATGATCAGTTTTCCATCTTCCATTTTCCTTTCCTTCACTTCATCATATTGCCTTGCAATCGATTTACGGTAAAAGAAAAGATGGGTCAAACGTCGAACTTCACATGAGACGAACCTAATTGAAACACTGGATAACAGGGCGGTCTTTTTTGATGTTATTAGGTTAGGCTTATGTGAAGTTCGACGTTTGACATCATGAGCCTAAGTAAAAATAACGACCTTGTAGTAGCAAGTGAGCAAGTGGCTGGCATTTAAATTTAGATCGCGATTTTTCAGATTTTTTGAAATGAATTTCACTCATCTTTCATGATTCCTGGGAAGAGAATAATAGAGAATGTATAACTCTAAAAGAAGACTCAAAAATCTCTCGAAATTCGTAAATTTAAATAAAAGATTGACTCTTTGAAGAACACGTGAACAAAACAAAGGGGCAAAGAAATGGCTTTTCCCAACACCAGCAGGTCAATCATCACTTCCGGTTGGTTTATAACGCCTTGTGATTGGCTGAGACATTCATAGTAATTTGAGTCGATCTGCAAAAGCTAAAGATCGATCAAGTACGTCTTCTTTTTTCATTCCTTAGGACTTTTTAGCAATGGCGAGAAGGTTAATTTTGCCTCTTATTTTTTCTAGTTTTCTAAGCTTTTATGTTAATGCAGATTTTTTGGAAAACCTTACTCTGAAGGAAACGATCCAGTACGATGAGCTTTATTCAGATGGCTTGTTCGCTTACAACTTGAAAGATTTTTGTAATGCGAGCAAGAAGTTCGAACAAGCTCTTTCAGACTACAAATACCAAGACAATGTAAAGCTCCATTGCCGGGATAAATGCTACAAGAAGTTCCAGGAATCATTAGCAAATCGCAACATCCATACTGTTTTGGAGGATCTAGAGTTGGAGTATTTTCGCTTAACGATTTATTCGCGTCGTTGCACACAAAAATGCAACGAAAAATATCTTGGGCGAAGATCTCATGTTTCGGCTCAAATCGAGAGAGATTTTGAGAACAGAAAACTCTACTCCTTTCTACATTTTTCTTACTACAAGGTAAGACATTATTTTGGTTTAGTAAGTATACGAATACTGGTTTAAAAAATCGTAGTTTTGTGTTAAGATTTTCGTGTAAAGTTTGGGCAAATCTCCAATTTGCTTGGTCCACGTGTACTTACTCCGGACAGTGACTGTCTGTTGTTTGTATGGCTAACATTCCTACACACAATGACTACATTGTCTAGCAATTTAGCAATTTTATTAGCTTGAGATTTGTCGCAGCGAAAGAAAACGAAGTCAGTGTTTTAAGAAAAGTCATCTTTTGATAGCATTTTCATATATTGTTTGCTAATTTTTTGATTTCGCTTGATCCGTACGACTACGGCTGTTCCAATGTGGGATCTTTTATTTGAAGAGGGTTGCTGTAAAAAAGCTCAGACAAGCATGCATATTCATTATTTTGAAGGATTTATTGCCAGGGGGTTCAAGGCATTTTTCAACTTTTCAAAGTTTCTTGCATTGAAAATAAATTATTTTATTTTATTTCATGAAATTGGTAAAGAATGGAATACAAACGATAAACCATCCTGGGGTTGGGGGAGGGGGGGAGTTCAGTATGTGTGGTTTGTAAAAGGGGGACTACCAAAACTATGCCTTAACATTGCTTTCGTAATCAAAATTGATATCCACATCCTGTGGCCCACACCCAAAACAAAAATGATGAACAGTCTCTATAACTTTTTTAGATTTAAATTATATTAGATTATAGTATAAAATAATTCAAATTTGACTTGATATTAGTGTGGTCAACTAATCAAAGCCGTCCAGGCAGCCTTTACATACCTGGAAATGTGGCCCAATGACAATCAGATGCTCAGCAACATGAAATACTACAAAACTCTGGCAATAGTCAATGACGAACTGGTCTTTTCCCTGGAAGCTATTCCTCACATCAATACATACTTTAAAGCTGTCAAATTCTATGAAGCTCAAGACTGGACAAATGCACTGTTGACATTTGAGCAAGCCTTGAAGGAGTACTATCAAGCATACAAGGTTTGCAAGCTGAAGTGCGAAGAAAAGAGAGAGAGTAATAGAATGCTTGGCCAGGAAGGACTGACTGCCGTGTATGTGGATATTCTGAGGTGCAGATCCAGATGTCAGGAGAAGCTTGCTACTATCAATGGCCAAGTTGTTGACAATTACCTACCAAGACATTATAACTATCTGCAGATGTGCTACTGGAAGGGTAAGTATTATCTGCATGTATAGTACATCTATCAGGGGTGCATTTAGGGATGGGGCAGATGGGGCCATGGCAGCCCACCACCCTTTCTTTGATTCCTGGATTTGCCCCTGTCTATTTCTGGCTTTGTATTGAACTTTGTTACTTCAATCAAACCTTTAATTTTTTCCATTGAAAATGTTTTGAATCTTCATTTTTTTAAATAGGTTTTTTATTATTTGTAGTTAACAATAAATTACCACCAAAGCCCAAATAGTTTGCCAAAAATTGAAATGTCTACTAATGGTTCATAGATTTGTGATAGACCATTAGTATGAGGTTTAGACTATTTAGCAATTAGTCCTCAAGCCCAAATGGACTATAAGTCATTAGCCCAGGAGTCTGAAAGCCAAATGGGATATTGGGTCATAGGCCATGAGGGAGCAGGGTTTAATGATGACCCAATTTATAGATGCAGTATCTAGTATTACCATATATCAATCTGTACTGTTATGAGGTAATTAATTTCAATAACATAAATTTTGCTGCTTACTTTCTGTTAGTTGGTAAGACAAAGGAGGCTGCTGAGTGTGCAACATCTTACATGCTGTTGGATCCTGATGATGAAAACATGTTTGACAATCTAAAAATCTTTAAACATAGAGGAAACTTGGATGGAACAGAAGTTCTTGCAAGAAAGGTATTTGAATTAATCCATATCATTTATTTTACCCAGACATGTGACTGCACTCACTCAGAGTCATTGCCATAAAATTTTAGATTTTAAGTGCTAACTATGAAAGACGTAAATTTCCCTCTCTGACATCCTTTAGGAACTATTATGCAAGATTTATGTGCAAGCAATATACATGCATATCAAAGTGCATTTTTACCTTAGGTCTCCAGCATACCAGATTTTAGTGTTGTCATGGAATGCCCCCCTTTGTGGTGAAGGAGCATTGCGTGATTACCACACTAGAAATGGCTGTAGGGCAGACTAATGTCTTTCTGCCTAACGATTCTGGTGTAAATGACCAGCAAAGCAAATTTTCTGAGATGCGCAAGCACTTTCATAAAATATTGGAGGCATAGACATGAAAGCCAACTGGCATTTGTGGGAAGTGTTCATCTTCAAACCTTTGGGAACCACAGAGTTACTGATATACTAAACATTTGGTGATTTCTAAAACCTTTGAAGAAAATATTTTGTTTGAATTGAGCTATATTTTTTCAAAAAGTTATCATCCTGCTCCTGATCATGAACTAAAAAAAACTCTGAGTTTAATTTCAAGGTTTTGTATGTGTTTTTCCATAGCACATGTTAAATCTTGCCCAAATATGCCTCATTTTCAAATTTGAGCAAAATCTCAAAAAAGATCAATTCTGGCTGGACATTGTTTGATGTTGGGATGTTATTTTTAGTCCATGGATTCAACATTTGTCCCAGTTGCATCCACAGGAGCCCAAGATTGATTATTGAATTTAAATTACTTCTTCAACAATCACGGAGCTATGCCCTGAAAACGTTAATGTTTTGTAAACTTTTACGTTTAGCATTTCTTCATATTTTACTGGCTTATAAAGAGAAGAATAGGAAAATATTTCTACAGAATATCATTTCTTCTTCAATAATTTTTATTACAAGTTTCATTTTGTTCTAATACAGGATGCCATCATCTATCATCGATCCATCAACCTTGTAAGCAAGCTGTTGCATTTGGCAGAGATGTACACCAGTGATCATGACATTGAAGAAGAATGGTTTGAAGACATCAATGATGTTGTTGCTCCAGATGATAAAGAGAGTACAGAAGAGACAGAGGTACCAGTACATGTATATTATTAATAACACTTTAGAATTACAATTTAAACTTAGTTGTCATATGATGTTATTCAAAAGAAAGATATGATTGGCTAATGCACTTGTGTGAGGAAATGATAAATATACAAATGGATGAATGGAGGAAGAGAGGGAGGGAGGGAGGGA